AAAAGATACATCTAATGGCCTGCTTCGTATGATCCTCCAAATCAGCTGGTGAGAGTGCGTTTCCAAATGTTAGTAATATGTTCAACCTGTTTCCTTTACATGGAAACAACAAAGGTACACCACCATTTTTTTGGTATGCGAGTTCCGGTTTGACAAGCCGGACAGCGGCCTCACTGCACTCGCTTTCCCATTGCTGCAGCTTCAGCTTGGTCCTCAGCTTCGTGCGGTCCAAGATGTGGTTCCCGAAGTGGACATGGGAATAGCCCGAGTTTGTGACCGGAAAACCCGTCGGAACAGTGAGTAGCACCGAGCAGGGGAAGGCAAGAAAATGCTGGTGCTCCGACCAGGTTTCCTTGTGGCTTTCCTTGAGCAATAACCCGGTTGCCAATCCGCGTTTCCCAGCCAGCAAGTTTTCGGGGGAGTGACAAAACATTTTTGCGAGAGTCAAGCAGGATAGGGTGAACCTCCTTAAGACGTAAAGTAATGCCCCGAAGGTCGACAGAACAACTTGGATCTCTGTACTTTCTCACCGCCCAGGGGTGTCCGATCGCTCATATCAATGGAGGGAAGAGCGGTGCTCACTTCCTTGAGAAGGGTACAGCCGTATCGCCTGCGAGCATAGAATCAGACCGTGTCCCTTTTGATTAAACACAATGGACCAAAATTTTAAGAGTTTGCCACGCCCTCCAAATGGTATTTTTGTTCAATTTGGGGTCACACGCCCAAACTTGGTCACGATTGCAAGAAAGTTGTACCCAAGCACAAGGAATTGTGGGAGGTGAGCACAAGGACGCAGTACGAACCATACGCCACATATACTATCCAGGGGTCAATCCTGCATCGACCCACCCTCTCTACGTCTCTCTTGCATGCGTGGCCCAGGACTTCGCGCGACTAGTCGTGGCTTTTTGAAACAGCCCCAAAGAATTGTTCATGGATGACTGGTTTGCAAACGGGCGAATCCTTCTCCCAGGACGGCATGACCAAGGTCGCTCTTCCTCGTTTATAATTTATGGCTTACTGAGATGAGCGTCGTCCATGCCCTGAAGCCCAATTTGTCGCCCAGTGGTCGATCCTTTTTCCGGATGGTGGAGAGCTTCAAAGGGAGCAGGGTGAAAACACGTCTTCAAGACGTCTTTTGCGCTGCGCTTCCAGAGTCTGCGTTGGACTTCCGGGTTGGCCCCTGGCCCGGGGCTTGTGCTCCCTTTAGTTCAGTCCCAAAATGCCCGAAAAGCCGATGAGTGTCGCCCGAAAAGGAAAAAGTAAGGACTTTGTCTAAGGCCCGGTCAGCTCATCACTGGACAGCATGGGCTCCAGCTCCATGGCACATCGGAGACCCGAACCCGCCGTGGTGAAAGCCGGACGAAACATGACACTACAACTGGGATTCACAGGGCTCGCTACATGTTGCTCCTTCAGCATCAACCCAACAGGAAGCTCAGCTATCAAGTGATGTGTAAACTGGCGAACTAAACACCAGCTCCAGGCTAAATCTTTCCCAAAGAGCTCGTGTTGAAGAAGCGCATTGTGGCCCGAGCGAGCTGTAAGTTTCGACTGTCTCTCCAGCTGGTAATTTGAGGCAAACGGCTACATGGCAGACGGGTTCAAACGCAAACCCTCAGCTCACAATTCACCCGGCTTTTGCTTGCTTCGCATGATTTTGTTAGGCAACCCTGCTGTTGGCCAACAAACACTCTATGAGGCCGCTAGTACCCGAGCAAAAAATCGACATATCGACTCCAGGAGGCCTGGCCTTGGGCTCCCTGAATAATCCTTTGGCTGCTTCCCAACCAATATTCAGCTTACCCCAAGTGACAAGAATCATCTGGGCTTGCGCCTCGTCCTCTGGTGCATTTGTTCGTCTTTCCCTTCAATCAGAGCTTGACAGTACATAGTATCAACTTGCACGAGAAAGGGTGGCTTGGCAACAACAAGTGGGCCCAAGTTTGCTTGTATTTTTATATACTGTCCGGCAATATGTGCGCGAGAGTTTGACCCTTCTTTGCCAACGCCCCAGAACGTTGAACATGTCATTTGCCCAGCATGGCCTCTACGATTGACCCCTTTTGGCAAACACCGCATCTGCCCTGGCATATCTGTAAGGGCTATGCCAACAATATATATATCCAGATCAGACCAGTCTTACTCTGGTATTGGTCTGATCGGACCAGTTTCTGTCAGCTTGGGTCCGATCACACCAGTTCCGTTTTGGCCTGCCATGTTCGCTCTGTTTTGGTCTGACAAGACCATTTTCGCTCCGTCTTGGGTTTTGGGGTCTGACTCATGTTCGCATCGTTTTGGTCTGATCAGACCAAAACGGACCAAAACTGGTCTGATCACCAACTGTCAAGACGGACTGAAAATGGTCCGGACCAAAACGGAGCTGATCAGACCACAACGCTGAAAATCATGCGATGAGACCAAAAAGGACTGGAGCCGCTCTGATTAGACCAAAACTGGACCAAAGCTATGACCAGAGACGAAGATCAGACCAAATAGAAATGGTGTGATTGGACCTAAACTGACCCAAACTGGTAGGATCAAACCGAAACGAAACGAAAGTGGTCTGGTCAGACCAGATGCTCTGGTCAGACCAAAAACTGGACCCAAACTGGTCCAAACAAACTGGTTACTCAAAAAGACTCATAACAGGCCAAACTCACCGTTGCACCATCTTGTCAGTGATGTGTCTCACAACAGGCAGTCCCGCGTATCTGGATGTATTCCGTAGTGTGTAAACTGTTTTTTGGGTGTCAGCCTGAAATAAGGTACAATTCTGTTTTTGCCGGCGCCAAGCAAACCTGTGCACGCATATTCACTCCTTTGTTTGGTAAGGACTTAAACCAGACCTCGTGCCCCTGTCGCTCATATGCAGCACTTGACAGTGCTACTACCAGAATCCGATTGGGAATGGCCAACCCAACACCAAAACCCTGGAAAATTCTCCGTTGCCCCGCTGTTTGTCGCTCCGTTCGCACAGCATGGGGCAGCTGAGCTCTGCACCGTGCAAACAACACAATCAAGACAGATA